TCTGATTTTTTTTTTTTTCTCCTTGGAATCTCTTATTTCTTTCTTGATATTCCAAAAATTCCTGATAATGTGCTTTGGTGTGGATTTTTTCCCATTAAGTTTGCTAGACATTCATGGGTTCTTTTAATCTGGAAATGCTTTCAGACCCACTGAATAATGAAGAAAATAGAAAGGAAAAAAAGGTGGTATACAAAAAACAGCGGGTACATCATGGAAGAGAAGCAAAGAGAAGTCCTTGGATAATAACCAAGAGAAGTATTACAACAACAGTACATAGCAGGCCCAGTGACAGTCCACATTTACTGAACAGGAGAATGGAGAATCCCTGGAGATGGAGAAGATGTCTCCAAGGAAAGTAAATGGACCCAGCCATTGTGGCTCAGTGGACTGAGTGTTGTCCCATCGACTGAGTGGTCCTGGTTCAATTCCTGGTCCAGGCACATGTCTGGGTTGCAGGCTTGATCCACAGTGGGGGCGTGTAGGAGACAGCACGTCGATGTTTCTCTCTCACATCAATGTTTATTTCTCTCTCCCTTCCCCTCTCTCTAAAAAATCAATTAAAACGAAAACATTAAAAAAAAAAAAAGAAAAAGAAATGGAATTAATAGATTTCTGGAATTAATAGATTTCTCGTGTATTGAGCCATGAATTCTTCAGTTTGTAGACTTCTTCAGTTCTACATATTTTTAAAATTTTTATTTCTCTGATAGTATTTTCTCCACCCAGCCAAGAGTTGCTCAAACAGCTAACACATAACATTGTTTTAAGCTACTCTATTTAGGAATAGTTTGTTATATAACTATAGGTGACCAGAATAACATCTAATATTTTTAGATAGAAAATAATATCTAGTGTTAGTAGAATGTGGTTTTCAGGAGGAAAGGATGAGAAAAACAAAACAAAACGAGAGAAAAATTTTGGGGGATGTACAATTTGTAAGGTAACATTTTTGATGAAATTGATACTTTATAAATTTTGTGGTGAAACCGAGGAATTGATTTGTTTGAGGCTTCAAACTAGTGAGTGACAGGAAATTGGTGTGGGGAGAGAGAGGGAGGGGGAAAAAAAGATGCCTAATTATTTCTCCTTTAAGCATGTGCATTCCTGACATCTCTGAGGACTAAGATTGTCCTGCAGGGAATATGATTAAAGTTACAAAGAGAAAAACAAAATAAATAAGTCAGCTTTTGATCCTGCTGCTATATTTACCCACAAGAAAGGAGGCAGCTCTCAGGTGGGCTTTTGTTTAGGTAATGTCCTGAAATCCAAGTGTAAAAGAACAATGTGAAATCTCAATTCTCCCAAACGGTTTGGGGAGAGTTCAGGGCTTGAGCCCCTGGGGGGCTTGGTTCCCAAGGAGACTAATCCCACTTGCTCAGCATTAGGTATTGCTGGAGCAAAAGAGCTCTAGTTTGGAGCTCTATGGAGAGGCCTCAGTGCAGTCTGGAGCTGGGTCCTTCTGCCTCATAGGAAGTGAAATGTATTGATGTCAAAGCCACTCAAGTGAGTGTGCTCACTCTGGGTACAGGAAGAGGGGCTGGTGGGCCTGGCAGGAGCTGGCCACTGACTTTGTTGAAACTAATTTCGTCCCAGATAGAGCTCTTCCCTAAAGGAAAGATCAAGGAGACAAGCAACTGAGACCATAAACTGGGGGTTGACATGTATAATTTAGTTAGATATTGGAAACTTTAAGGATTTATTTGGGTATTAGGCAAAAAGCTATTTCAAGCACTTTTCTTGTTGCCTTATTATCTATGGTTTCTATAAACACCATTGCTTTGATATGACCATGCCTCTGCCCAGGCTGTTCTCAGAGATATTGCTTGTTTGCTTGGCACAAAGTCTTAGCTCAAATTCTTCCTGTCTGTGGAGCCTTTCCTAAATTCTCTGGGCTGAACTGACAGTCCTTTTATTCCATCAACTATATACTTCCATTGAGAAGTATCACCCTGCATTATAGAGGCTTGTTTGCATATCTGTCTTTCTACCAGAAAGGGTAGAAATCATGGCTTCTTATCTCTGAATCCATCATACTAGCATAGTGCTGAGCACAGTCTTGGTGCCAGTATCTTTCAGTTGAATGAATGAGTGACTGGATGGATATTTTACATGTAAGAATCAATTTTGTAAATCAGGCTACAGAACTTCTAATCCATGAAGAACTGATATTTGTATATGGAGCTTTATGGTTGACAAAGAACTTCCACTTCCTTATTTCATTGATTTTCACAATAGCCTGGTCAAATAGACTCATACTGACTAGTATTCCCATTTTCTAGATGAGAACATTGAGGTGTAGAGGATTAAGTAACTTTTCTATAGTCAGTTGGATAATAAAGAGGTAGATTCCAGTCTCAATCTCTGGCTCTAATTTCATCACTCTCTCTACTGTAGTACACTGCCTTTTTCTGAATGTTTACAATTGGCAAGTATAGTTGCCTTCTTGCATTTGAAAATACTCACTCACTTTGTTGGGGGAAAGAACAATGGGTGCTGATTTTATAGGGGCATGTGTTGGTAAGGGATGGGTGGAGCCGAAGGAATCAAAAGCAAGGACATTTGTGGAGCCCCTATTTGTGCCAGGAGCTTTCCTATATACTATTTCAAAACAATTTTGAGCAGTTGAGATGATCTCCATTGTACAGATAGAAAAAGTAAGATTTGGAGGCACTATTTGCCTGTTGTGTCGTGTAATTCTCACAAAGACTCCAAGAACAGTTATGACCATTCCATTTTTCAGATGAAGAAACTGAGCCTTAGGAAGATGAACTGACTTACCCAAGGGCACTCCTCTAACAAGTGGCAGGCCAGAACTTGAGCCTCCCCTCATCTAACTCCAAATCAACGTTGATGCTTAGGACACAAATGATCTGGAAATGTAGACTTTTACATAAGAATCTTTTCATATTCGATTGATTTTTGAATATGATTATATTACGGCTTAGATAATTCTCTGGGGAGTACGAGAGATACTTCAGACTAAAGATGTCAGTTAAACGTATTGTCCCATGAAATCTGTGTCTGGGGATTTGTAAGAGCAGCTCAGTTGAAATAAGGTAAAAAAAAAAAAAAAGTTAGTGCTCTTGGCTGCCAGACCCTGTCTGGAAGGGAGAGGAAAGAGCAGACATCCACATCTGAGGGGTGAGAAATACAGTTCAAGGATAGGCCGACACAATTTTTCTGAGTGCAGATGTCACCAAGAATGGAACAGACAGTCCAATCATGGAGGACAAAATCCGGTGTGTGTAATTCAAATGAAAGCTATATTATAATGGAACCAACTTGAATTTTAAAAATAAAGAGTTTGTTTCAGCTATGTTGACTTGGGAAATGTCTACTTCCTCTCCTAACTGAGGAGTGTTCATCTCACTTTTTTTCTTTGGTAAGGTTGTGCCTTCAGGGTGCTCGCTAATGGTTTTACTACATCCTGAAAATGGGGCTTAAAGAAAAGAGTTTTGAAAGAGATGGTTTATATCTCCCCCATGCAGACTGCACCTAAACTATAAAAACTTATTTAGAGAACACTTTATCACACATGTCTTCATACATGTGATCTCATTTAATCCCCATGAAGAACATGTGATAGAGAAGACACGTAAGGAAAGAGAGTCAACTTATTGTGTTATAGAGAAATAAAGGCAAATACTCGTCACAGGCTATGGGACAGTCAACAGATGAGAATTTTTCACAGGATGTTTCCTTTAAATATCACAAGAGCCCTGTAAGGTGGGCAACCTTACCTGTATTTAACACGAGTAAGCTAAGGCAGAGAGAGGTTGCCCAAATCCATCCTCATCAGAGCAAGGATTTCAACCCAAGTCAGAGCTATTGAGTGGTGGGTCTAAGACCAGAACCCAAGCCTTTTCTGGATCATCTTCCACGTTTTACCATAATGTTCATTTTCTCTATCCCAAGAGGATTGCCCAGGTGAAATGGGGCCTAAGTGAACTTCAAGGTGATTCTTGAAATGTAACAGAAGTTTCAGAAGGACAACCTAAATGGTATGACTTATAGAGTTCAATTCATACTTTGTCCTAAGATGCTGAGAGTTTTATACACACACAGGGCTCTCTGTCAAGCACCAGCTGAGTTAGTGGGAGCCACACCTTTCTCCTTTGCCTCCTGCTATCCACTACTAATAAAAAAAATGAGCCAAGTGTTGCCCTCAATTTACTATAAGCTAATTGTTACTTTTGACAATCGATGGGTAGAAGAAAGAGCAGCAGAGTCCTGTGGAAACTAAAGTTAGAATCTTAGCACCAAGGCTAGAGCTTGAAGAGACACAAGTATCCTCCCCCAATATATAGATGGAAAAACCAAGGCCAAGAGAGAACACAAATTTTGTCAAGGGCTTAGAATGGCTATAGAATCAGACTTTGACCAACTCACCGTAACTACCCAAGGCTCAGATTCATCTTTTGTTACACGGTGATAATAACATGTAATTCACAGGGGTATTTGTTCAAAGATTAAATGAGGCAATGTATGGACAGCGCAGGGTATAAGCAAGCGCCCAGTAGCTTGGGGCTCTTGTTGCCAGGGCTGGGAGTGAAACCCAGTTCTCCAGATTCTTATCTTCTCAGCCTCAGGGAAAGTATTTGTGGTACAAGAGCGGGAGTTTGAGGACGGACCACCCCATCCTCACCTCTTGCGGTTGGAGCTAGCCAAGAGAAATGCGCCGGGCGAAGGGAAACAAAGGGGTTAAGACGATGAGCTTGAGAAAGCCCAGAAAACTAGGGAAGCGGACCCCCCCCCCCCATCAGACAGGCTAAGTAAGCCCCACCCCTCCGCCCCCGGGGCGGTCGCTGCGCGCTCCCTCCCTCCGCCCCTCCCTTACAAGATCTAATGAGCTCCCCCGGGAGGCCGAGCATCGAGCCCGGCCAGGAGCAAGGAGGCTGTGCCGCACGCTCCGCGCCAGGGCAGGATCCGGGCCTGGGCAGCCGGCGGGAACCGGGCGGGGGCGCACCGACCGCGCTGCGGGCCGCGGGGGAGACGCGGCGATGGCGGTGCAGGCGGCGCTCCTCAGCACGCACCCCTTCGTCTCCTTCGGCTTCGGGGGCTCCCCGGACGGGCTGGGGGGCGCCTTCGGAGCCCTGGACAAGGGCTGCTGTTTCGAGGACGATGAGGCTGGGACGCCAGCCGGCGCACTGCTGGCGGGCACCGAGGGCGGGGACGTGCGCGAGGCCACCCGCGACCTGCTCAGCTTCATCGACTCGGCGTCCAGCAACATCAAGCTGGCACTGGACAAACCGGGCAAGTCGAAGCGGAAGGTGAACCACCGCAAGTACCTGCAGAAGCAGATCAAGCGCTGCAGCGGTCTTATGGGCGCCGCACCCCCGGGCCCGCCCTCCCCGGGCGCCGCCGACACTCCCGCCAAGCGGGCGCTCGGCACCTCCAGTGCTCAGACCGTCGCGGTCCCGGCTCAGGGCAAGGCCGCCCCCCGGAGGGATGCGTCGCAGGCCTCGGCGGCCGCTAGCCTGCAGAGCCAGAGCCTAGCCGCCCTCTTCGACTCGCTGCGCCACATTCCCGGGGGTTCCGTGGCAGCGCCCACGGCCGGGCTCGGCGGAGCGGGCTCTGGGGGCGTGGGAGGGGACGCGGCCGGCCCTGCTGGGGGTACGGCGGTCCCCGGTGCCAGGAAGGTGCCGCTGCGTGCCCGCAACCTGCCCCCGTCCTTCTTCACCGAGCCGTCCCGGGCAAGCAGCGGCGGGTGCGGCTCGTCGGGGTCCTGTGTGAGCTTGTGCGACCTGGAGAAGGGCTCCGAGACCCTGGAGTTCTTTGAGCTGCTGGGGCCCGACTACGGGGCCAGCACCGAGGCAGGCGTCTTGCTCGCTGCGGAGCCTCTGGATGTGTTCCCCACCGGAGCCACGGTCCTGCGAGGACCCCCGGAGCTGGAGCCTGGCCTCTTTGAGCCGCCGCCTGCGGTGGGAAGCCTAGTGTACCCCGAGCCCTGGAGCGCCCCGGCCTGTGTCCCGACCAAGAAGTCATCCCTGGCTGCCCCCCACGGAGGCTCGACCTTGAACGAGCCCTTGCGCCGACTGTACCCGGCTGCTGTGGACTCTCCGGGCGGGGAGGACGGGCCGGGCCCCTTGGCCTCTTTCGCTCCCTTTTTCTCAGACTGTGCCCTGCCCCCGCCGCCCCACCAGGTGTCCTACGATTACAGCGCGGGCTACGGCCGCACCGCTTACTCCAGCGTTTGGAGACCCGACGGAGTTTGGGAAGGGGCTCCGGGGGAGGAGGGAGCGCGCCGGGACTGACGCGAGGTACCACCCTCCCGTTGGGGACTGCTGTGGGGACTCCGAGTCTCTCCTGAGACTAAAGAACGACTGGGAACTGCACGTGGAGGTGAAACGGGATTAAAAGTTTCAATTAATAAAAGAAACTTAAGAAAGTGAGATGAGGACTTCGGGGTTGTTTTAATCACAGCCTCAAGTGTTTTTTTTGTTTTTTTTTTTTAAAAAAAGCCTGTGGTAGGTTCTAACTGGAACAGACGAGCCAAGAAAATAAGATGGGGTTTGGGTAATGGGGTGGGGATGGCAAGGGGCAAGAGGTGGCGTCGGTAGCCACCTGTTCCCTCTGCAGTTTTCAGCAAAAGGTCAGTGTATATTAGAGTAACTGCCCCTTCCAAACCGTGCCCTGGTCCCTCCTCCTCCCTCCCCTTTGAGTGCATCATTAATTAAAGCCTATATTGAAAAGATTGTAGTGGAGGTATGTTGTTATTGATTCCGGATTTCTTTGTTTTGTTGTTTTTTTGTTTTGTTTTTTAGAGCACAGCTTCCGGAGTGGTCTCTTTACCTTCGTGGGTGAGAGTTATTGAGGACCCAAGGCCAGTGGTCCTCCGCTGACCTCCCTTGTTCTGGTCCTTGAGTGTGAGTCTCTTCTCTGTCACTCTTCCTCTTAAGCTTTTTTTGGCTCCCTCTTCTGTCTCTTTATCCGTCTTCCTTTCCTTTCCACTCAGATCAGTGCCTTTGCTTACCTTCCTTCCCTTTCTTTCACTGGCTTCTCCTTGCTCTCTTTGATATTTTTGTTTGTCAGCTTTTCTGGCAAATTTCTTCTATAAGCGCTTAAGTTTGGCAGCCTGGGATCCATTTCTCTCCTTTCCTCCTCCCATTCTTCACCCAGTTTGGGTGGGGCAGACTGGGCAAGTTATAATCTCTGTGCATTCAAGTTTCCTTATGGGAGAGGGTGAGGATGACAATATGCCTCCATTTCTCACTTCACAGTTTGTTGGGTAACTCAGAAAATGTATAAAATGCCTTGAAGCTGCAGCAGCGCGCGCGCGCACACACACACACACACACACACACACACACACACACAGTTTTCCTATGTGGAAGCCATTAGAATTGAGAGTTTCGTGCTTTTTTGTCCCATCTATTAGCCTGATGATTGCCCTTTCTTTTGTGAGCTGTGCGCCTTCCCTCCCCTCTCTCCTCCTCTTCCTTTCCTCTGTTCATTTCTGCCTCTCTGTGCTTCCTCACTCCCTCTACCCACACTCTCCCCCAGGGAAGGAATGGTGAAGGGTGTGAAGTTCCCAGAAGAACAGGTTTTTGAATGGAATCTGAAGTGTCCCCTGAGAGAGGAGGCTGATTTGTTATCTGAGAGAGATTTGGAAAAAGTCAGAGAAATGTTTTCCCAGCCATGAAGTGGCAGAGAGGACACACAGCATGGTCAAGATGGTTGAGAGGCGGAGGAGGAAAGACTGGCTGGGAAGTGAGCAGCAGGAGAGGAAAAGTGGGGTGGGCTGCTTTTAGTTTTTCAGACCTGATGATGAAAATGCAAAAAGAGACCCAGAAAATAGAAATTGTTGCCTGTCGATTATATTGCAAAGGAGAGCTGCCTCTGTTCAAGGCAGTCAAGATAGATTATAATGATATCTACATAGGAGAAAGTCAAAACTTAAGTGATATTGCAGAAAATTCTAAAATCCAGGTCAATGTTTGCACAAATAAAAAATATGGCAATATTTTCAGAAAGGAATTTGTGGGGACAAAAAAGCAAATGGGTATCAAGCCATGGCGTACAAATGAAAATGCTATCACTAAATTGCTTACTTTTGAATAAAACATTTCTTAAGAAAGCACCGCAAGTAAATATAGCAATGAGTCTTATAAATGATAAAAGAACTTTTGCAACTCTAGAAAATTGGTGTCTATAGAATTCCTTTCAAAGTGGTAAACTGATTCATTCCATTGTATTGCAGAATATTATTCAACAATCATTTAATGTATCAAAACGATTTGGTGATGAGTACCTTGCAGGATAGAACTGTGCAGTAGGAAAACAGTAATCCTGTGACAATTATGAAGGCTATAGTGTCACTTCAATGTTTTTAAATTTCTTCTTCTTTCCTGGTTTAGTAAAATAAGGCATTTCTCTCCCAGCATCTTGCTTGTCATGCCTTTCATCAATGATGGTGCCAACACTCTGTTCCCATGAGCCAGAACTGAGCTAAGCACTACCTCACTGAGTCCCTTGACAATCCCATGAGGTAGGTACTATTATTATTCCCATTTGGAAAGGAGCTCAGACAGGTTAACTAAATTGCTAAAGCAAGTTGTGGGTCCAAGATCCAGATCTACAGGTTTCCTAACACCAAGAACTGCCTGTTACTTGCTAGGCTTTGTTGTGCTTTGTTAGTGTGTGTGGTGCCCAGTCCCCTGCATCATACTACCATAGGGCTTCTTAACCTCACCAGTATTGACATTTGGGGCAGGATAATTCTTCCCCATGGGGGCTGTCCAGTGCATAGTAAAATGTTTAGCAGCATCCCTGGCCTTTATCCACTAGATACCAATAGCGTTCCCCTAGTTGTGATAATAAAAAATATGTCCATTACCACATGTTCCCCAGAGAGCAAAAATGCTGCCAGTTGAGAACCATTATGCTCAAGAATATGTAAGCAGCTTCAGTGGGGTGCATGGAACATGTGCATACATGATCTCATTTGATTCTTACTAAGGCTTGTGCTTAGGTATTGTTATTACCCTTATTATAGAGGTGAAAAGTAAGAAGGATAAGGGGAGAGGCTAAATCAATCCACTGAGCTATATCTCATTTCTGTTGATTTACCAGCCATGGGCCAATGATTTAACTGTATTAAAATGCAGTCTTTCCATTGGTAAAATTGGATAACTATCACAAATGGTTATCATGGGGAATTGGAATAGGGTATGTATAAATTTCCACCAAGAGGCAGAGTAGTTCTCAGTCCCAGGCAGCCAAGGTTTGCCTTTATGTCAAAGTTCCAAACCACTCTGTTATCCAGGATGGCAAGAATATGTGTTCAGCCCCATGTAGCCTCCCAATTGTCCCATCTCTGATTCCTCTTCTTCCCAGATTGCTTTCCAGTCTGAGCACATGTGTGTCTGATCACGCCACCTACCATAGTACAGTAAGTAGTGCCCATGAATAATAGTCCTGCAACGGTTCAACCTACTGCTGCTTCCTCTCCTATGTCATTTTCTACTGCAGCCTGTTAGAAAGTACTTTTTTTCTCTTGTTTAGCCACACACTTGCCCACTGACTATTCTTTTTAAGCGCAATGGTAGATATTTTTCTGGACCGGAAATGCATTGTAATAGGCTTGTAATGGCATCACTTTCCACAGGCTGGACTCTTAACCTCGTCAGTAATTACACTGCAGGCTGCATATTCATGGTTCCCCAGCTCAGCTGCGCATCCCTTGGCACCAGGAATGTGTTTTAGTGTCTTCTTGCATCCCCTAATGGTTGCCCTAAGCCTTTTCTCATTTCCATTCAAGCCTCCACCCTTCCCCTCTCCTCACCCCACGTCCTGACAATATGGAGAACATCTGTTGTAATTCCCCTCCATTTCCCAGCCCCACCTTCACACATGAGTTTTTCTCTCCACAGGCAGGACCTTCAGCTGCCCTCACAGCTCATCATCCCGCCCCTCCACTTCATGAGGACAGGATGCCGCTCCGTCAGTTATCCTAAGTCTCCTCTACCTCCGGGCTCACCCTCACTTTTCCTTTCATTCCAGAAATAAGCCTTTAGAATGGTTTAAAAATAAGAAAGGGGGAACAGAGAACTGAAAAACTCTCAACCCTGTATCCCCTTTCTAGATAGTACTCTATTTTCTCTTCATAGTCAAGTCTCTTGGGAAAAGAATTCACATTTTGCCTCTGTCTATTTAAACCTTATCTATTTTGAGTCTTAGGGTGACCAACTATGTGCCTAGGACTATCTCAGTTTTACCACTGAAAGTTCCACATACCAAGAAATATCCCTCAGTCCCAGGCAAACTGGGACAGTTAGTTACAAATTTAAAAATGTGTGTGTTTTAAAAAAATAATTATTTTATAAAGAGAGGAAGGGGGGGGAGAGAGAGAGAGAGAGAGAGAGAGAGAGAGAGAGAGATCCATGTGAGATGGTAACATTGATTGATAGATTGGCTGCCTCTTGCATGCCCTCTACTGGGGATCCAGTGTTCAACCCCAGCATGTGCCCTGACTGGGAATCAGACCATCAAACCAGTGATCTCTCTGTGCTTGGACAAAGCTCACCTCACTGAGCCACACTCGCCAGGGCACAAGTCATGCATTTTTATTAAGTCCCTCCTGAGGACAGGTACTGTGCCAAGTGGTGGGATCTATGATGGGAAAGATGGACATGAAAACATGCACGGTCCCTGCCCCAACAGAGCTTCTGGTTAGCGTCAAGCAACAGCAACAGTGTGTGAGGAAAGTGCAAGAGAGTGGCCATATACCCTGTGGGAAAGGGAGGGTAGGTCATAACAGGCAATTGCAGAAATTTGATGTGGGCTAGGGCTGGCAAAGTTGTGGCAGGGCCCCACTTCTGCAGTCATGGAAAGCATTGCTAACTCAACAGGAGACTCTTGCTCTCTGAACCTGAATTTATCTCTATTTACTACCATTTGCCCAGGTGAAAACATGTTTACCATTTGGTATTTATTTGATCATTGCCCCAGAACTGATCCAATGCTGGAAGACTGACTCACACTGTTCAAGTTCACAAGTATAAACTATTAGTCCTCTTGCTAATAAGCAGCAAGAAAACATAAACCTAAGTCAATTATGCCTGAACAGGAGAATCCCCAGTATCTACCTACACAAAAGACGTAAAAATCAGAACAGCATGCAGTGAACAGAAGCAGTAAAAGTTGCGGGAACAACTCAGCAATTTGGGGACAACGATGGCTAGGCTTCTTTTATGTTCACTTAATTGCTCAGGTGCCTACTGCCTTATTTGCATAAAGTATCTTTCCCCCTAGA